GTTTCAAATAAATGCAGTTTTTTTTTTTTTTACTTTCTATTCATCAAAAAAAAATCCTAAACTAAATATATTGTGATTTCCACAAAAATATTAAGCTCCACAGTTGTTTTTAACATTGATAATAATATTAAATGTTTCTTTTAATATTTTCTGAAGGATCATGTGCCATTGAAGACTGGAGTAATGGCTGCTGAAAATTCAGCTTTACCATTACATTAATAAACTACATTTGAAAATATATTTAAATAGTGCTGTCAATGGATTAAAAAATTACTAATTAATTGCACTTCTGAAATTAATCGCGATTTAATCCCACCTAACATTAATGTTTTTAAATATACTTTTATATTGCAATAATTTTGCATTCAATCTTCAAATTAATGTAGAAGCAACATACACTATATTTGTTTAATGGCATCTTTTTTTATGACTGAAGGCGGGTATCACTACTGATGTCTCTATGAAATTGTTTTTTTTTTCTCTCTCTAATATTTAACCATTAACTATAGTAGTATAATTGAGAGCTATCAATTTGAACATTTATTAACCTTTAAAAAATAACTTCAAATTTAAGTGAACTTAAAACAATCTTCACATAAACCCATTATAATGTCATATTTAGCTACCTGTGCCCTTCAGCAAGTAGGAAATACACAGAAATTGAATAAAGTTTTCAAACACTAAATTCTAAATTAAATATAGATAAATCCTTAAAGCTACAAAAGTTATTGATTTCCTATTATTTTTTTCTTTTGTTCTTTGATTCACAGCAGCTGGGTTATTAGGTTATTTTGGCTGCTTTAAGAGCTGCCGCTGCTGAACATGACGTGGATCTGACACGCATCGTATTTTCTCACAACTCTTTACCTTTTCTGACCCACTTCAGGTCTTAAAGTCTCTATTAATGAGCTGATGAGTTGAATCGGGTGTGTTAGATGAGGGAGGCAGTGCTGCTGCTCCAGGACAGTTTTGAAAACCACTGCATTTCAGAGACATGTTCTTAAATGTGACTCCTATATAACAAATACTTACATGCACAGTTTTAAGGCAGCTTTAATCATCTTTTTGGTAACTTCAGTTTACTGACGACATAACTACGACATTACATGCTCGTAATTTCTTTTGCACTTTAATATGAAATTATATAGGCTAAATCGCACGTAGCCGCATTATCTTTTTCCGCGCTCGTTTGACTAGCGCCTGGTGCTGAGGCAAAATTGGAGTGCTCTCCTGAAAAGTCTCCCGTTTGATGTGGTCGTAAAGATGTTCGGCGTCTAAATAAATGCAATTATTTTCAAGAAAAAAGAGACAGAAGCAGCAGTTGTGAGTGGGG